AGGAGGGGCAGGAGGAGGAGGGGGAGGAGGAGGAGGAGGAGGACGGGATCGCCCAAGCCCTTCGGAGAAGCCCTCCATGTGTGGGGGGGGGGCGCAGAAGGGCAGGGCAGCAGAGAGCAGGGCAGAGAATCAGCTCACGTCAGCTGGCTTTCCTGGGGCCTCCTGGCGCCGGGAGTTGGCGGCGCGCGCAAGGGGGTGGTCGCCTCTTCCTCTCCTCTCTGCTCAATCCCCCACCCCATCCCTCTTCCTCGGTGGCCGATCTTGCAGGCGCCTTCGGGATCTGCGCGGGGAGACGAAGGCACTTCAGCCGATCCGCCTCCGCTTGCCGGGGCAGCCGCTTCGCTCGCGCGGATCGGCCCGCACGGGTCCACGGAAGAACTTCAGCACGGCAGAAAGGGGGGAGGGCCTCTTAGCAGGAGGCTGTTTCTCAGAAGGCGCCGGCCATACATCTACAGATGAGGCCCGCGCCTTCTAAGAAGCAGGGGTGCTTCTCAGAAGCCCTCCCCCCTCCTCCCGCCCCCCTCTGCGCGTGGCTGAGGGAGGCGCTAGTGCATCGAAGACTGGGCCCGACGTCGGGGCCGACACCAACTGCGTGCAGCAGACTCCGTGACCCACCCTTCCCCTATCCCTCCCCCTCGCTCGGGACGGCACCTCTCCTCCTTGAGGAGCACCGACAGGGGGGGACTGGCATGCGGGGGCACATCGACCTGGAATCGGCGACAGATCGCCGATGGATCGGCGATAGGCACCCGATAGCGAATCTGCACCTTCCTGGGCAGGTTGGGGCTATTGGGCCCCGATCGGCGATCAGTGGGCCATTGGGGGTCGATGCATTCCCCCCCCTATGCCCATCCCCTCCACCTGAAATTGCGCCGCGAATACGCCAGGCCCGTCAGGAGGACGCACAGCTCATGAAAAGCGCCCCTCACGGCCGGCGGACCAACTTCCAAAGCCAACACAAAACAAGACATCGAATGCCCGCCACCGTGGCCCGATGCACGAAGCGGAATGTGGTCCCCTAGACTCGCCGTCGCTCGGACGCACATGCCCCATGCGCCTTTTCGGCTTCGCGCTTGCAGATTGTATCCCCAGGTGACCCGAGAGGCTCCTCGACGGCCCTCGCCGAGGAAGAGGGGGCACGCTCGAGCGATGCCACGGGGAAGCCTCTGCGCGGAGTGCACTTCCTCGGGGGCCCACGGCCCCGAGCTCCGAGCGCCCGCGGGGTCTCCCGGGCGCCTCCGGGCGCTCTCTTGGGTCTTGCCGCTCGGCCCGTGCCGAAAGTTGGCCCCCTCAAGCCACCAGGACCTGAAGTATAATGACGGAGAGGAGGAGGAGGAGGAGGAGGAGGAGGAGGAGGAGGAGGAGGAGGAGGAGGAGGAGGAGAGGAGGAGGAGGAGGAGGAGGAGGAGGAGGAGGAGTGCCTCGGAGAGCCCCCGAGACGGGCCAAGAGAGAGCCCCCGGTCGCCCGCCCACTTGCGCCCAAGATCGTCGCAGACGGCCCGAGAAGCCACCAAGACGCCCCAAGAGGCTTCCAAGACGCCCCCTAAAGAGGGCCCCAAGAGGCCGAATTCATTGATCTCCCGTGGATGCTTGGCAGATTTTAGCGTCCTCGTCGTTTCGGGCTTCCAACGCTCCCGGGCAGTCCAGGAGGCCACCGAGATAGCCCCAAGACGGCCAGAGAGACCCCCAAGAGGACCCCAGACGGCCCGAGGGAACCTTTGAGCGTTCTCCGACCCTACGTCCCCCCACACCGCGAGCGGGTGGAAACAACAATCCTCTCCCCACGCGAGTCGCCCCACCATGTGCACCAGCGCGCAGTCGTGCTCCCAGTCTGGCTCGTCCTCCGCCTTCGGCGAGATCCGCAGCCACATGGCGGCGTTCGGCGCGCCCTCCTGCCGCGAGGCCCCTCGTCCGCGCGGCGCGCGGGGGAACTCGTGCGCGAACTGCAGGCCACGCCCGCGTCGCGGACGAGAGCAGGGCGGGGCACGGTTGCGCAGGAAGGGGATGCTGGCAAGATGGCAGCGTGGTGAGAATCACGGCAGCGCAGAGCGTCAGACGGAGAGAGAGTACGAGAGAGAGTCCTCCTCCTCCTCCTCCTCCTCCTCCTCCTCCTCCTCCTCCTCCTCCTCTTCCACCTCCTCCTCCTCCTCCTCCTCTCCTCCTCCTCCTCCTCGTCCTCCTCCTCCTCCACAAAGAGAGAGACAGAGGAGGAGAGGGAGACCGAGGAAACGGGAGCGACCTCCGGTGGCGGAAAACGACCTGTTGCACGGGAGCGTTGCGTGGCACTGCTTGGCAGATTGCTTGCCAAGGAGCCAAGGAACCAAGACCAGGGAACCAAGGAACCAAGACCAGGAAGCACAGGAGACACGGGATCATGACCAAAGAGCCATGAACATGCAACCAATGAGCCAAGATTGAGGAACCAAGGGGCCAAGACCAAGAAGCCAAGACACCCAGGAACAAGACCAAGGAACCATGGCACCACGAACGAAGAAATAAAGATGAAGAATCAAGGAACCGTGACCAAGGAACCCGAGGAAGGTAACAAGGAACCAAGACCAAGGAACCAAGGAACCAAGACCCAAAAACCCACGGAACGCAACTGCAAAGAATCAAAACCGAAGGAATCACAAGGTACACCACTGTAAGACAACAGTGCCAAGGAACCCGGAGGGACACCACTGTAAGGAACTAGCACTAAGGACCCCCTGGCAACCCCACTGCAGAGAGACAACACCCTGTAATCCTAGGCAACTCCAGCTCTCGCAGGCCAAGCAGCAATAGATATTCAAAAACATGTGAGGTAAACTTAGCCAAATCCAGGGTGGATTAAGAAGGAAGAGGCAGGGGCACCAGACAATTCGAAGATGGAAGACAAGAGCAGCACCCTAATCGATACCAAGTCCCAGGCAAAAAACAATACCCCAAAAAAAGCAAGCCGATGAAGGACAGGACAGGATACAAAAATAGGACTGGACAGAGCAAAGGACAAACCACGACAACACGGCACGACACGCCAAGACAAGCCAACATACAGTCATCGGCCTGACCTCAGATGAGGAACGAAGCCCCTCTTTCCAAGGAGTAACGCATAAGGAACGATACAACAACAAAGAACGCATGAGGAACGATACATAACGCATGCAAACCTAAGGACCGACCGAGCCCCTTTTGAAAAGTAAGTGTTCCTTGTTCAAGCAGCTCACTGTAAGACACGACGGATGGGGAACTGTCCTGGGATCATGCGGGACCGAAGGCTTCCGACCTCGAAGCCACAGAGAATCCCGCCAGAGCGTCGCGGCTCTGACGACCCCAGTTATCCTCGCTCTCATTTGCCACGCCCTGGGGCGGCACGAGACAGCTCGGACGACACATAGCCGAACCATGAGGGGCAGAACTCCACAAACAATGGTGGACGACGGTGCAGAACGAATGCGACGCCGACTGGATACTCGAGCCGCCATGTGACCAGGGCCGGGGCTCACCAGCGCCACGTGTGCAAGAACGGAGACTTACCCATATACAACTCAAGTTAAATTGCACACCGCAGCGCGGTGCTATCACACCGACCATTTACACTTAGCAACTTGTTGCGCTTTCAACTTCGTGGGATGCAAATGTGACAACCACATTCGCAAACCTATCGAAACGGCATCACGGCACTGTTCCTGAACCCAGTGCAAAGTGAGGCCCAATGGAAAACATGTAGTAAAGTAGCGCGCGCAAGTAAAACACCCCAGCGCGAGCAAATGCGCTTGCGATAAGCAGCCCGCCTCGATGGACCCCCCCCTATGTTCACCGAGCAAGAATCCCGTCAGCCCTCTGGGCGACAAACGGTCAAACGAGATCCTTATTTCCGCTTCCAAAACCCCTTCTTCTACTTCGGGGAGGGGCTTACCCCGTGGGTAGCTTGACACCCCCCCTACCTCCTCCCCTGGACCCTGACGGGGGGGGGTCGCGGGACATTAGGGGGTCCTTGTTCGCCCAAGATGGCTCCAAGAGGGCCTCAGAGAGTCCAAGATGGCCCCAAATATTGCTCAAGATAGCCCAACATGGCCCAAGGCAGCTGACAACATGCCCCCAAGAGGCCCCAAGAGGGCCACTATACGGATCCACCAAGTGCCCTTGGAGACCCCTCAGCACCTCCCCGAGAAGCCACAATCCAGCAAAAACCGATGGAAAAAACAATGCTGTTGGCCTTGTCGACTTTTCGCTTCCTATGCGCTCTTGAGGCCTCAAGGTGGCCCCAAGATGGCCCAAGAGAGCTCCAGGAGAGGCTCATAAGGCCTCCAAGACGGCCCCCAAACCGCCCAGGAGCTAACCCAAGAGGGGGCCAAGAGCGTCCCGAGATGATATTATGCTGGCCACGAAGGGAGGACCAAACATGAGAACCCCCCCTCTTTGCACCGACACCCTCCACGACAGCCCCAGGAGGTCCTCCAGAGCTCCCAAGAGGCCCCCAAGAGACCCCCAAGAAGGCCCCAAGACGCCCCAAAAGAGCCCCAAGAGGACCCCACGACCCCCCAAGAGCCCCAACAGGGCCATAAGATGCCCTAAGAGAGCCCCGAGAGGACCCCAAGACGCCCCCCAAAAAAACCATAGCTCTAAGAAGGCCTCCGATGCTCCAAGCTAGCCTCCAACATGGTTCCACACGTTCCTCCCACTCCTCTCTTTGACCGCTCTGTTTCACTCTATGCGTCTCTGCTTTCCATTTCCCGTCAGCTCTCGTGGAAATGGCTTCTGAATGGGCTGGCGGGGATTCGCGAAGCGTAAACAATTCACGTCCTGGACAACTGATTTACCTGGTATTCAGGCCCGCGGGTCAATGCCACAAGCCAGCTGGCCCCGCGACTGACGCCAATAGCCAACCTCTCCAACCTATCCTGTCATTCCTCCGCTTCCCCTTTCCTTCCCCTGCCCCATCTTCCTCCCTCCCCTCCCCCTCCGTCCATCCCTGTCCTTATCAGCCCCTCCCCCACTCCCTCAGCTTTCCCTCCCCGTCTTCCCTTCCTCCTGCACCCTTCCTCCCTCGTCCTCCCATTCCTCTCTTCCCCTCCCCGTGCTACTTGACTGCCCCCCGACCTCGTCCCCCCTCTTCCCCACTTCCTCCGTCCCTCTCATCCTGCCGGCTGACGCTGTCCTGTAATTTTGGGGTCATACCTCGGGTCTCCAGCAACCGTCCGAGACGCTGCGGACACCCGGAACGCTCTCGACAAAACGCAACTGCTGAAACGGATCCCGAGGCCGGAAAACTCCAAGAACCCTCGTGAACCGCCCACCTCCCTCGCTCCCCTCCCCAATTGTGCTGATTCTCGTGGGGACCTTGTCTGCCCCGTCGCTTCGCGATCTGCGTCGAATCCGTGTCGAACCCGTGTCGAGCGCGACGAATCAACGTCGAATGAGCGTCGAATGCGCGTCGTATGCACGCCGATTGCACGGCGAATCTGCGACGACCACGCGCCAGAGATGAGGTTCACGGAAGTTGCAACTGTCCTGGCCAAGGACCCAACCATATGCAGCATTTGCATTTGTGAGTATCGTCGTTGCGGGTATCGACTTCGGGGGATGTCCTCACGGGGACATGACGCGTGTCGAAGGTGTGCCGATATAGAACCGTGCTTCGGTGGACCTTCGGTGGTGGTCCCTATGGGGCCACGAAGCGCTGTGCTGAGTGTGGGAGACGCGGGCGAACATCGCCACTGGTGCCTTCGGTGGAGCTATATATCGAGCAAGGAAGCGCTGTACTGGGTGGGGGTGACGCATGCGAACACCGCCACTGGGGCCTTCGGTGGAGGTCTCCATAGGGCAACGAAGCGCTGTACTGGGTTGGGGGGAAGCATGCGAACACCGGCACTGGGGCCGTGGCCACGAAGGTTTGTATTGGGTGGGGGAGACGCATGCGAACGCCGCCACTGGGGCCTTGAGTGGTTTCCCTGTGGGGCAACGAAGTGTTGCACTGGGTGGAGGAAACGCGAGCGATCACCGCCACTGGGGCCTTCGGCGGGGCTTCGTATGTGATCACGAAACGCCGTACTGGGTGGGGGAGACGCATGCGAACACCGGCAATGGGAGTTTCGGTGGAGCTCCGTGTGGGACAAAAGAGCTTTGTATTGGGTGGGGGAGACGTATGCGAGCTCCGCCTGTGACGCCGTCGGTGGAGTTCAGCTCCCTATGGGGCCACGAAGCGCTGTACTGGTTGGGGGGAAATGCCTGCGGACACCGCCACTGGGGCCTTCGGTGGAGCTCTCCATGGGTGGCGGGACGCACGCGACCACTGCCAGTGGGGCCTTCGGTGGAGCTCCCTATGGGGCCATGAAGCATTGTTTTGGGTTGGGGAAACGCATGCGAACACAGCCACTGGGGCCTGTCGTGGAGCTCCATATGGCCATATGGGGTCACGAAGCGCATTGGGTGGGGGTGACGCATGCGAAAACCGCCACTGGGGCGTTCGGTGGAGCTCCATCTGGGGCCACGAAGCGTTGTACTGGGTGGGGGAGACGCATGCGAACACCGCCAACCGAGCCTGCTGGGTAACGCATGCGAGCACCGCCAGTGGTGCCTTCGGTGGAGCTCCCTATGGGGCCACGAAGCGCTGTACTGGGCAGGGGCCGACACAGGCGAACATCGCCACTGGGCCACGAAACGGTGTACGTGGTGGGGGGAGACGCATGCGAGCACCGCCAGTGGTGCCTTCGGTGGAGCTCCCTATGAGGCCACGAAGCGCTGTACTGCGCGGGGGGGACGCATGCCAACACCGCTACTGGGGCCTTCTGTGGTGTTCCCTGTGGGGCAACGAAGCTTTGTACTGGGTGCGGGAGACGCATGCGAGCACTGCCACGGGGGCCTTCGGTGGAGCCCCGTATGTGATCACGAAACGATGTACTGGGTAAGA